CAACTTACTATTTTTGAGCCATTTGGGCTATGTTTTGAGGAATTCCACTTCACTTTTTATAAAACCTTTCTGGCAACCTGTGAGGTTCTCACCGGACAGGTGCTGTTTTCCTTCAGTTTGCTATTTTTGTTAATTAATAATAATATAAATATTCTGTCTAAGTAGATGTATTTAATTTTCTTAATAAATTACATTTCTGTATATTTAGCATATATGTAAATATATAAATTTTGGATAATTTGAAATATGATAATTTGCAGTGGCAAATATTTCATCCTTCGAATTTTAAACTAAGGAGGATTTCCTGTACTAGAATTGTTTGCTTCAATTAGTTTTGTTAGGTCATCCTAACTTAAGAAACTGTCATATACTTTTTACTTTTGGTTTGTTTGTTCCAGTTATCTAACTAATAATGAGAGAAAGTATTATTTTAGTTCTAATTAGCACTGTTAGGAAGAATTTCCAGATGAAGTTGTAAATGTGAAGATCTTGATTCAGTGCAGAACTTATAGCTATTTATGTTCATAAAAGATGTTTGCACGAAGAACATGCTACAGTATATAGTGAATATTGTAGTGAAACAGAAAATTCAATATTGCAGATATTTTACTCAGTGCTGTTACAGTTTCAGAACAAATACTTGTAATACATGATGAGCTAAATAAGAAAGTTGAGATTGAAGTAAGTGAAATATTTCAGTTTAACTAGCAATCATTGGCAACAAAAATGATGGATTATTTTATTTTGTAACTGCAGATTATATTGAAGATTAAAATCTCATCTCCAAGCATTTTTTCCACCCAACTGACAGTCAGTCAGAAATGAAAAGTAGAGACAATTTTAGTAAAATTACATAAAATTTTAATTTAAAAGAGAAATTTTATATTATGATTACAAATAACTGCCTAGCGATAAAAAGCACTTTTATTTTCCTGGCTGTTATGTATATGTTACCGGCCAAACTTAATTTCAGGCCAAACTAGTTTATTTTACTCATTCAGGATATACTAGTTTAGTCTAGGACATAACACTTGTACAAAACTATAAAATAAAAATAAGCTAATGAGTAATTATCAGTTTGTATTTTTTTTTATTAAGCCATGCGCTTTTAAAGGTAATTAACAATCGAAAATATTTTCAAAAATTCAAACGAAATAATAAAAATTACTTTTAAAGTCAAACTAAAATTAAAAATGAACTTGTTTCTGTTTCTTAGTGTAACATATAAAATATTTAATCTTTTATTTATTTTTACAGGGTGGGTTAATGTGTACCTAGGTAACCTCAATGGTGGTACTTCAGACTGTTTGTGCTTCCAGCAGACTCCTCCCGGAGGGGAGCCGCCGGCAGGCCGCCCATTGCTTAACGTCACTAGTTATTGATTCACGGTAGTTCTTGAACAAAAGAAAAAAAGGAAACGTCTACTAAAAATGTAGTTAACCTAACCTAACCAGCCTAACCGAAGCACCGCCACTAGGGTTACCTAGGAACACTTTAACCACTGGATGTACTGTGGTGGCATTTCAAATTACACAAAATCATTTTTTTTTACACTGGCATCTATTTGTAGTACATAAATCAGTTTGGCCTAGGTCAAACTAGTTAAGTCTAAAGTATTTAGGCCAAACTAGATTGTCCTAGGCTAAACTAGTATATCCTGACACGCATAAGATAAACTGGTTTGGCCGGTGACATATACATAACAAGGGAAAGTATTGGAATTGTCTTTCTGAATGCAATTGGATTTTATGTGTTGTTCACAATTTAAATTTAATTCTGGTGTATACTTTTGACAAGTTTACAGAATATATTCAAATACATTTAATGAAATAACTAAAACACTTGAAAATTGTAGATGTGTAGTCAAATATACGAACAGATCACATCATTGTAATTCAAAATTATCATTGTAGTTAATCCAAGACTTAGCTCATTGATGAAATTCAAAGTTTTTAATACTGAATTTAATTAATAGCAGAAAATTTAGACAATATTAAAATAATAGCAAGTGACTAGAATGATATAAACATGCAGCTATCCAAATGTGAGGTCCTGGAAATACACTAAACTTATTAATATTTTAAAATATGTTTTTTTTCCATAAAAGAAAAAATAATGAAAAGAAACCGTTTCTCAGAAACGAGACAGAGGAAAACTAGATAATATAAGTCCTGAAATCAACTATCTTTGGCTGGGATCAAATTAAATGTTGGTTTTTACTCATCCCACGATGTAAGTTCAGATATTGTTAACTAGTAATGAATGATGACCATTTAGAAAGTGAGGATGAGGAAAGGCAACTGGTTGGAATAGCTGATCAGGGACAGAAAATAATAAAAACTCTGAATTTTAAAGACAACAGAGCTTCTCACTCTGATTTCTTGCAGTGCCAGACCTTACTCAGTTGCATTTTCTACTTCACCCTTGACTCTTGGACTTGTAATTACATCACTCCAGGGCTGCCAAAACAACAGCAGGATCCTTCTTTTAGGATTCTCTTACAAAAGGAAAAATAGAAGATTCACATAAGCATATGTTAACTCAGTATTGCTCTTCACCTGCTAAGACACTAAGAACATTATTTCTGTAAGCCTTTTTTCGTTTAAATAAATTGGGACATCTTCGTTGTAACTGTTGAGTCTGACTATCTGTCTATTGCACCCACATACAAATTTGCACCTCTTTCATTCTAGCTTGAGAGCACAATTCAGCAACCTCACAAAAATTAACATTTCTCCATTGGAACATATATTACTAGTACTAAAAACTTATAAAAGCATTTAAGAACCTTTATGTCAAGAAAATAAATCAACATTGCATCTTGTTTGCAAAAAAAGTAACTTTTTAAAATTTGTGCTCCAGCAGAAAATGATTGAGCCTGTTTCATTTCAGACAATGATTGAGCTACATTTCTAGATGACTCACTGGCATATATCTGCTACTTTCTTATCAGCAAAATTTTTTCATCAGTTAAACAATTTACAAATAAATGAAGCTATATCTTTTCTTCAAAACATAATACATTCCAGTGATAGCAGAAAAAATACATTGCAAATGTTTTTCTCAATATTGTCACAATAGGCAAACTGGAGGCTGGGTTTGGACAGATAGCTGCCCATGTGCTACTTTACTTTTTTGAGACTGGACTTTATTATTGTACTATGCCAGACGGCTTGTTGTGCTACAAACACATTGCTTTATCTGGTTCCAAGAAAGCAATGGATTGCATAACTGTGTTGTGCCACTCAAACTTCTCAAGTGGTGACAAATGGAAGCTGTTGGTCATTGGGAAAAGTGTGAAGCCATGAAATTTTATAGGTCTTCTAATGGATAACTTGTGTGAGGTTCCAGAACGGGGCGAAACTAAAATTTAATTTTTACATGTTAAAAGTGAAACACTATTGTGAAGTCAGACCAAAGGTCATGTTACTTACATAAGTGAGATGAGAGGGAAAAACCTGTAGTTGTTAAAACAAACACGAAGGCTAATGACGTAACAGATCAGGGGGAATGTCAACCAAGGAAGATAGAACTCTGATATGGGTGCTAAAAAACAATCGATCTAGGTTAAAAGGTCAAAAAAGGAGAGATTTGACTGTTAGAAAGACATCACATGCAATCATTAAAATCCAAAAATTAACAATGTAACAAGGAATTGTGGAAGGTACCCAAAGTTTGTTTTAAATAAGCAAATCAGTTGTCGTCTAATGTTTGGAAGAGTTATGTAGCGAAATTTAAACTTTTTTTGTCATAAAATATAATTAAAGAATCTTTTTTTCTGAAAATTAGCTAGAAAAGAGATGCACCTTATATTCAAGGAAATATTCTTTTCTGAAAGGGGATTCCAAAAATAGGGCAAATCTTATATTCGATTAAATACAGTAATATTCTATCATTCCCTAGATTTACAATTTAATTTTGTTTGAAATTAAAGCATTAGTTTCAAATTATAAAGACAAACTCTACATGGTTGCAAGGCTGCATTAGTGTAAAATGTGTTATGAAATTAAATGAAATCTTATTTCTTATTTTAATTTCATAACACATTTTAACAATAAATTTTTAACATTTTGCTTGAGGATGATGAAAGACTGAATTTTTTATTTTCGTTTTAAAAGCTTCAATAAAGTAAAACGCTGGTTTATTGTCAATAGTAAGTTATGGTGTTTTGAATTATTAAGAATGCATTTGCCATACAAAGTTTGTTTGTTGTTATTTTTTATTGTTTTAATTAATTTTTGTTATTTGTCATGTAGCAGTTAAAATATATAACATAATTATAAATAATTTGTAAATAGACCTAATTGATGCTTACATAAGCATATTTATGTTAAATAAGAATAATTATAAGCATAATGATGCACAATATTGAGACCAATGGTGTTGTCATAAAAAATGTAATAGTATTAATATTAATAGCAAATGAACTTCCATGTTAAATTAATATGCCTCAATGTCCTTCATTTATAATAATATAAATTTTTGTCTACTAGTACGTATTTTCGATTATCAGGACTTATTGGACTGGCTTTACAGATACTGCAACAAAGTTTCACAAATCAGAAATTTGTTTTATTTAATTATTTATTTAATTAAATAAAACAAATTTCTGATCTGTGAAACTGTAATAACAGAATTTTAATAATATTTGATTTTTAATTTTAATAATTTTGCAATTATAAAAAAATATATTACTGTTAATTAGAAAAAAATAACTAATTAAAATGTTAGAGAAGCAAAACATGTGCAAAACAGTAAGTCAAATGCTGTTTTATTTTGTCAAAGTGCCATACTGTAAGGGACATGAGGGTCAGGGAGTTTGTACAAAGTTGGTCAGGGGAAGTCAGGGAAACTCATGGAAATTAAAACAAAAATTTGAATAGGAACCCTGTAATTTGAAAAACATGCAACTAATTGTGTCTCAGTGTTGTACATGGTCATATAAAAGTTTTTGTATTTTATACATTTTTATAAAATTTACTTTTTTATTTTTATTAAAGCATGTAATGAAACTTGTAATGAATGCTTTAAGAATAGTTTCAAATGTAGAGTTTGTCAAAGTGGCTATTATTTACAAGACGATTTCTGCCAAGAATCTTGCAGTCCAGGATATTATCCATCAGAAAATGCTTTTTGTCTTCGTAAGTTTACAATATTAATTAATATTTATTTTCACTTTTTATTATCTGACTAGATGAAAATGATAATTTCTTTTTAATTACTTTAGTATATTAATTGAATACAGCTAATTCTTTATTTTGTTATTAATAGTTAGTTTTATGTTATGGGCAGCTGCACATTATACTTTCTTACTTACAGTGCCAGATTACCAAATGCATGAAAACACAAGCTGCCATTTGGACCAGCTATGAATAATACACACAACACTAACACAGGCAGTTATAAGATCACATAGATTAATGTGCAGAAATGCAAAGCTGCCTGCTCCCTTCTCATTTACACATTTACATGATGCTTACATAATCATTATCTGAGACCTCTACACCATTAACAATAAGATAGTCAGATTCAATTACTGGAAAATCTCAGGACCCTTGCTGTTGTATCAAGGCTGGTATTATCATAAAAAACAAGAACATTACTGCTTGCCTTTTTACCCAACACACAACCAAATACATAACCACAGTTTGCATTACTGATGACAACACTCACTTTTACATTTGTTCTGTCTACGTTTCTGACACATTGGCCATTGAGGATGTCTACCGTTTCCTCAACACATGTAAACCTATATTAATTGAAGGTGATTTTAATGCCAAGTCTGCAACTTGGCATAGTGCTATTGAAGATCCTAAAAGTACTATATATTCAATGAGACCATAGTGTTTCTTTCTTTTTTTTATCCTTGCCTTTCCCATGTTTATATGGGGTTGGCATTTCCTTCTCTAATATGTTTCTTCCATTTCTCCTTATCAAGGGCTTCTTCTCTCTATAGTCCCCTCTGGTTCAAGTCCACCTTATCTTTTCAATGAATCTTTTCCTCTTTCCTTTTATTACCAGTTTTCCAATCTTCTTTCCAACATAATTGTCACTTCTCTCTACGTGGCCAACCCACCTCAACCTACATTCTTGCATCTTTTTGCTCAAGGGGCCCACCTTAACAGAACCTCTAATAAAATCATTCCTTATTCTATTCTTCCTTGACACTCCGCACATCCATCTCAACTAGGTTTCTCATTTCACGGGAAATTTGCCTTCAGCGAGATTATGGAAAAAAATTATTTATTTTCCTGGGATACTGGGAAATTCTGGGATGAGATAATAAATAGAATTTCATATGAATAAAAAATATCATACAGGAGTATCATAAATTTGAATAATTTAATTTATTTTATAGTAAGTAACTAAAAGTTTAGGGCCATTCTCACCCATATGGACGTGGTAGGTTCAATTAATTTATGTTCTCCTACATTATAAGATGAAAGTAAAATAAAGTGTTTCATTGGGAGTTTTAATGAACATAATAATGATTACGAAAAAATACTATTTTATTTCTAAAGATGAAATAAAAAATATACTTATTCCATAAATTTAATGAGAAAAAAGGCAATTATTTTGAATTGAACAAAAAATACAACTTCTCAAAAAATATTTTAATTGAACATAAAATACTACTAGAAAAATTTAAGAGAACAAAAATCTCTCTCTCAAAAAAAAAACTTATAAATTTTCATAGTAAGACTTCAAAAAACAAAAATGATCGATACTTTGATCGCTCAATCTAGTTCTCAATTTGGTCACAAAAAGACCTGCAGCTGAAAATGCCCTTTCAGACTCTATTGAGGTGGGTGGAATGCTTTTCAAAGCTCTCAAAAAAAGAGAAATTTTCTGAGATTTTATGCCTGTTTTTTGAAGATTGCTAACTCAGTTTCTAACTGCTCTCCAGCACTTAATTCTTTGTTTATTGCTCTCTGCTCTTGTCGTATTCTTGATCTCTCGGATGCTTCAAGATATGCATTTAGCTTATTGGCTAAAGTCATTTCATTCGGTAGTGTGAGAGTCTGTGATTCTTCTACATATTTGACTTCATTACCTTCACTAGAGTCGGAAATAGCAGGTTTTCCAAAAAGGCAATCAAACATTTGTTTTGCTGATGAAATTATAATTGCCTCAGATTGTTGGAATGCGCTGTCACTCTCGAACTTCTTGCATTTGTTTTCACCAGTGAGGTAAAGTAACAGTTCCATCAATTTTTCGTTTCTTCTCTCTTTTATGCGGAGAACAAAATATTCATGTACTTTTAAGCAGTTTTTAATTGTTTCAGTTCATTCAAAATGAAAAAGGTAATATCCTCTGCTGAAAGTAGAGTAGATTTTCTTCTGCCTAGCTTTTCAACAGCTAGTTTTAAGGGTTCTAGCAATGCCACGATGTCACGAATTACATTGACTTCTTGTTTTTCAAGACTAAGAGTATTATTTTTATCTTCTTTGAGATCAATGAGAGATTTCAACACGGATGGTCTTATCTTGATATACCGTTCTAGCATAGATAAAAGACTGTTCCATTTGGTTTTCGAATCCAACATTAAATGTAAGGGTTTCCACGATCCTGTTTAACGTATTCTTGTAACACATTATTTTTCACGGGTGACTTACGAATGGTTTTAGCTATCTTTCTGACTTTATTGATGATTTGAGAGAGAACGATTTCATACAGTTCAGATGCTATATCTATTTCAAATAGATTTTCATTAGAGTGTTCATATTCTGAAATAAAATTTTTAACCTCAATACCTTGAGTGAAATCTTCTTCACTTTCATCAATGTTTTACTCATCTCTTTGGTGATCTACTTCTGGTTGGTTTTCATTAATAAAGAGCATTGTAAGGTGGGTAGATGATTTCTGATACAAAGCATCACACACTGCTAAGTAGATTCCATGTTCATAACACAATTGGTGCTCACATTCAATTAATCTTCCCATTTTTTCATCACAGTTGCACCATCAGTTACACAATCCACCATGTGTTTTTCCAAAGAAATATGAAATTTGGCTAACTTTTCTTTGACCACATTAACAGCAACTTCAGCAGATAGAGAACCAGAAATCCTTATCATTCCTAAATTCCAAAATTTTCCCTCCCCTGTGTGTACATTAATATTCATATATTGGCGATTGTTTAGAGAGGAGTACTCGTCTAATGATATACTAAACCTTGTTCCTGAAGTTATTTTCTCTGCAATTTTAGAAATCGAACTTTCTTTTATCTGTTTGTATTGTGAGTGAACCAGATCCATGACACGAGTTGGATTTGTTGGCAAAGTATACTGTTTCTCTGCCAAAGATTGCCTGATATATTCACTTTTTGCAATAGAATTAATAGCTATAACATCTAGTGTAGACAACTTTGTAACTATTTCTTTAGCTTCTGGGTACAAATTCACTGAGTACGGCGTTAATAAACTTCTTTAGTATTCACACAAGTACTTTTGACGTGTGTATAACCGTCGTCTTCAGGCGAAAAGAACAAGTTTTTAAGAAAACAAATGTGCAGGATGTTCCAAAAGAACATAATATTTAAATTCAAACAAGCGTCCGGAAATTCCGTTACGAACGTGCAAATGATTTTTGATATTTCGAATCTTTATTTTACCATGTTAGCGGCGCATGCGTGGAGATGCTACTGCGTTGGCGATACGATGTTGGGTGCATTTTGTTTTTTAGGCGCCGATACAAGGCAATCCACACCCCGGGTAGATCGAGGGTGGGAACATTGCATGCTTCTGAAGTGGCTGTGAGAAGCGCTTCCCAGATAAACACAAGCCTTCGATTGTTGCAGCATTTAATTATTGCCGTTCTGGGCCATAACGGGTTGTATCCTTGCTCGAGAACTTTTTTAGCGAGCTATGTAGAGCATCTTCCTTTAGCTATGTCTTCCTGATGCTCAGCAAGGCGGGAGGCGAGCATTCTTGTTGTTGCTCCTATATATCTTGTAACATCACCCGTTGCCAGATTTTCTAGGTGTATCGTATAAACCCCTGACTTTTCTAAAGTGGTTAGCCTGTCCCGATCGTTGCAGATACATCTGCGTAAGTTTGGTAGGGGGGGGTTATGGGTAGTATGAAATTGTACCACCGAAATATGCGGCTGATGCGTATAAAAGTTGGTCCAAGATACGGCAATGAAGACTGGATCATGGATGCTTTTTCTTTTCTGTACAACGTGGTACATGGGTATAGGGCCTCTTTTACTTTACGGAGCACATGTTCATATTTACCATACGTAAATCCTGCAAGAGATACCGCTGCTCTGATGATATCCAATTCGATTTTTGTTGCTAGTTGCGTCGACGGAAGTAGTAATGCTCTTCTAACGAGTGCAGCAATGGCGGCATTAATGTACCACGACGGTTGAAAAGCATCTGCCGGGATAATATACGGTAACAGGTCAGACTTGTGATGAATAGAAAATTGCGGCCCCTCAACCGACTTTTTTATAGATAGGTCCAGGAACGCTATTGAATCCTCATGCTTCCTCTCCCAAGTGAAACTGATAGTAGGGTATATGCTTGACAGTTGCTGCACAAACTTGATAAATTCCTCCTCTGTATCCTTTCATACTATTAGGATATCGTCAACATAACGTAAGTATAGAGCCGGATACTTGATGGTAAGGGGAGAGTTGAAAATTCTACGCTCGATTTCTCTCATAATGAGCTCGGCCAAGACTGCAGATAGCGGGGAGCCCATAGGAACTCCTCGTTTCTTCAAGTAGATGCTTTTGTTGAAAAGGAAATAATTGTGCTCAGTGATGAAAGTCAGCGCATCATGTATGTCTAGCACTTGCTGTACACTAAAACTCTTTTTGATGATCAAGGAATTAGCAAGCATGACGGCTTCAAAAACTGGCACAGAAGGATATAAGGACACCACATCCAATTTGTAGAAATTGTAGGAGTCTTCATGTGTACCTCTCACATTGGAAGCAATGGTGGACTTGGCAGCTATAGACGACTGGGTAACATATGGCGATTCCGGAAGAAGAGAGGAACTGTAGTTCGGCTTTGAATGCTTTTATAGAGCTAATCGTTTCGGCTAATGTTAATTTTTTTCCTGGAGATACAAGTTTAAACTGCTCAATTTTTCACATATGTCAGTTAAAAAAGCCAAGGCCATCAACCATCGTATGTTATCTAAAGTTCAAACGTTTGATCTTTTAAAATAAGGAATTTTTTATCTCTTTCAAAAGATCAAAAAATCAGTCAAGTGCTTTGTGTTTATTTAACCAAGGTCAGCTTGGAAAGATTGGTCCTTTTCTACAAGGGCTTTAAACAATCTATGTGATAAAGGGTTTGCTCGAATTTTGTTAATTATTTTAACATCATTCATAACATGTTCAAAGAATAATATTTTGGCACCTAATGATTCTTGATGTATGATTGTGATAATACATAAAGTTTAAAAAGGATTCATTTTTCTTGCAATGGGAAATGAATCCATTATTGTGGTCCACCATTGCTGGTGCACCACAATAATTATTGCTGATAACTTGTGTAAATGCATATTAATTTCTGTTGAGTAATTTTTAAAGATATTATCTTACCCCTTGTTTGCTCTTGCATTGATAGTAACTTTAAAAGTTCTTCTTTCACACTAAAATCACTGACTATCATTGTTATCATTACTGTCTGTATCTGATATATCTGTTGACTCGTCTAATTGTAATGAGAAATACTTACATTTTTCCAAATCATTTTTTCAATTGACTTTGTTAATCTGTTGAAATCACTTAGATTCTTCTTGTACTTGTATTGTTTGATAATGGCAAATCTTGTATTGCTGAAATAATTTCTCGCTTATTAGAAAATTCAACAAATAACGAATCGGCTCCAACAAGAAATGCTTCCTTAAATATCAATAGTTCACTTTCTAAAAATGGTTGTTTCTGTTTTGCCAACAAATGAATTTTAAAGGGAGTAATAGTGACATTTTTATATTTATTTACATGGCTGGTAAAAAATACTTGCTTGATAGATACTTAAATTTTAGTTAATTAAATTTTTGTTTTCTTAACCTGGATTTAGGCGAATAACTAACCTCATAAGAACTGTGATTGGTTTTGTAATGACGTTCGACATTGTGTTTTTTGTTACTGACACAAAACTGTTGCATATTAAGCAAATAGATTTCTCCTTACTTTCGATAACAAAGTAGTTGTTTTTTACTTGATTACTGACTTTGAAGTAAAATGTTTATATACAAAAAAAAAAGCAACAACACAACGATGGCATGATGACAACAGTATGAGTTTACAACTAATACCACACGGTGAGGTTCATAACAAGAGGTACTTAATTCCGCGAGCAAAATGATACAAAAAAAAAACACTTAATAATATTTACAGCACAAATTATTTTAATTCTCTCTGAACAGGTTTTTTATATCGGATCCCAACTTTACAACTTTATGAATTTTATATACATAGGCATTAAGTACTTGTCCTCCAAATAGATAATTCATATACGCGTGACAGTCAGACGCAGGTCATATCAACTTACACTAACTTATAACTATCTTAAAACTAAGGAAAATGGAAAAGTAGAAGAAATAAGGAAGGATAAGTAAAGGAATAGAAATACCCAGGTTTTCGTAGCGACGCGCTCTTGGGTAGGACACAACTTCGGATCTCCCTCTTATTCGTGACCCTTTTCTTGTTGTAGATCTTTCGTCTACTTTCGACTTTGTCGTCTTTTCTCAATGATCTCTCAGTGACTCGCGGTCTTCGATCGTCTTTCTCAAGTTCTGGAGCACTGCCTTTTTCTGCCTATCTCTTTGGAATTCTCACCCAGACTAACTCCTTCTCTGTCTGTTTGGCCCCAGGGCCTCAGTCTCTCTTTTGTTCTACTTATTTTCATGGAAACGATAATCCTACCCAAGGGCAAAAAGGGTTAGACAAGAAAGTTCTAGAAGGAATTTAGAACAAAGAAACAGGAAAGAAGGCTAAGATTAATCTAAATAAAACATACAACTATCCAATATCATGTCTGACGACCACAATACTACTAATACATTATAGATGCCGTGGAGATGTGATTATAATACGGTAAGTGTGGCCCAATTTAGGGAATTTCTCACTACATCTAAAAAGATTTTAAAACTGGGTAACTTTTTAATTTTTTTCATTATTTCAAAACTTTGCTGCAGGCGCATGTAAATAGCTCCATGGGTGCATGTGTGCCTGCGGGAACAAGGTTGGGAACCCGTGTTACAGCTATTGGTTTAGTATCCTCACCATTTGCATGAAAGCAAAATCAGTTAAGCAAGCATGATGCACTGGAAACTGCAGAAATAGCAAAGGCCAGGCTACATGTTGTACACACTATTCAGAGAATGAAAGTATTTGCTGTTTTAAAACAAAAATTAGACTGTACTTTACTGCTACACATTGACAAAATTCTAACCATTATTTGTGGTGTGGTAAATTTATCTAGTCCAATATTCAGTGATAACAAATTTTGAAGAATGATGTGAGCATTTTCATTTTGACTCTATATAATGAATGAAGCAGTATTAAACAGCAATTTAATGCTGTTTTTTATAATCTCATAGTTAATAAGGCTTACTCATTTTTGTTTTTCAATTTTTATATGATAAAGAAATCAAAACACAAGTTAGGACAAAACATTTTATTTCAATACAAAACTTAACAATGTTTTATAAAATCATTATTGCTTAACTCTATAATTATTTTGCATAAATCTGTAAGAAAATATCTATCTTTGTGAATTATGAATAAAATACTGAATAAAAGAAAATGACCTTATTTTAATTTGTTGCATCATTCATTTTGTATTATTTACTTAAACATTATGGGCGTTAATTTTGTTATAAGTTAATAAAATGCAAAGTAATGTGTATTTTCTTCTTAGTTTTTTCATCAGAAATCACTTTTAGATCGTTGTATTTAAGAATTAATTTTGCATAGAGAAGGAAAAATAATTTTGGTAAAATCATTTAATAGCTTTTCTATCAATTTATGAATAAAAGTATAATCTGCTAAAACTTCAAGGGTTTTAAGGGTTTGGTCTTTGCTACTGAATATTACAAAATCACATGAATTTAAATTTAATATTGGACCTGCCCATAACACTTATGATTCTTTTTAAGCTGTAATTGCCATGCTCATCATGTACTATATACTTAAGGGATTGCACCATTTCTTCTGCAGATTTTTCTGCACCAATTTTGGGGCACTTGTAGCATCTTGATAGGTTTTTCATTGTTGAATATAAGCTCATTGGGAGAAAATGCAAAACATGGTAGTAATGGTGAAATTATCAAACCAAACTATTTGACATCACAATCATAGAGGGTTCCATACAATGTGAGTGTTGTTTTTTCACATTTTTTACCATACTCTGTATTTTCATTTTTGTTAAATTTGCTTCTAAATATATTTGTTAACTTCTTTTCCCAGTCTGCATTTTTTCTCCTTCCATAAGTATGTAGTTCATATCACACTGATCCTGTCACTCTAATACTTTTTTCTTCCTTCCACAAATCATTATTTTGTTCCATTGTCAAATGGCAAATGTTTTCTTTCTCCTGTTTTTGTAAATATTTTCTCTGTAGTGCATTGAACCCTGATTAGGCATAAGAGGATCACTTATATTAGGCAAATATTTATTACAGTTTATACACTGTTCAATTACTTTTAATATTGACCAGTGTGGTGCAATATTACCAGCTGAACTTTGTACAGTTTGGCTACTAAGCATTTTCTTCTAATTGAATGCTTTGCTAAAGCAGAATCAGGCAATTCTTGAAAAAATCACTCTTTGATAGCATCTTTTTTGCTTTCATTTAATGAAAGAATTTCTGTTTTCTTTGTTTGGATATGGCACAAATTTTCAACTTTACATGCTCCATATCTCCTATCAGACCTGCTTGACATTTTGCTCCAATACTGCTCAAGATCAGTCAGTACAACTCAGATCTTCCAAAGTATTACAATACTTGCAAGAGAAAAGTACTTATTTATATCTTTTACATACCAATACACCTAACCTATTAGTTATTTGAGTGTTTTACCTGTTTTTACATGAAGCAGTGTCCCTATTTAATGCTTACAGTATCCTGCTTTCCTGCTATGCAAGTACACTGAATAGATGTCATCAAATATTTTTTAGTTCTGAACTTCATTTTATATTTAATGTAATATCATGAGGTTCCTTTGAAACAACAGTTGATAAGCAGAGAGCAAAAATTTTTATTTTGACTGGTCAACCATCCTCATCATCTGTCCTATATATTTTTTCTTTAATGCCACAGCAAATTATCTGTTTTAGTGTTTCCTCTCCTTCCATAAGACATCTTTTTTGATCACCCACATATTCTAAAATGTAAAAAAGTGAAATCATCATGATATTAATTCTAGTTGATTTCGTAGCTGAATGTGGATAAAACGTTTTTACTACAGAGAGAAAAGTTATTACAAACGAGAGTCACTTGTGTATTGTCTATGTTGACAGGCATGCTATACTTTTTGTGGTAGCCATTTTAGTAGACTCATACACCACCTATAGTTAGTGGCACAAGTGAATTGCACTCACTTTTTCTGTATTTCAACTCACTTTTCTCACTTTTTCAGAGGGAAGATAACACTCTGAGGCCTGTATATGCTATGTGTACTTTCTGATATTTTTATATTTACAATGCACATTTAATGTTTTCATAATCCATTGTATTTTTCACTTTATAATGACCAGATTAAAATACAATATGGCTGCAGACATGTACCTCCAAATAGTGGACACCTGTAAATAGTGGGCATACTTCTCGGTTCCAATGTGTCTGCTGTTTGGTGGTTATATATATATATATTATATATGTTTTTTTTATATAATTATTACAGACTGATGATAATGAATCTAAGAAATTTTTTGTAGCTTGTCATCCTGCATGTAAAGAATGTAGAGATTCACAGCCAACATCATGTACTAAATGTACTTACAATCAATTTTTATTGAAAAGTATGTGTGTTGATGTTTGTGGACAAGGATTTTATGAAAATGTTTTAGAAAGATCCTGTTCAGGTAAGTAAAATACTTTTAAAATGCAATAATGTAAAATATTTTAATAATAAATATTCACAATTTCTGATACAATAAATTTACATCACTGCACCTGGAACTAGCTAAACACCTAACATACATCATCGCTAATCCATAAGACATGCAAAATTTCACACTCAGGGCATCATCTCCATGAAACCTAAAAACAACAATATTACAAACCCCACATAATACAGACCAATTACATGTCTTCCAATACTACAAATTATTGACATCTTGTATTGCGAATGAAATATATGAACATTTTGAATAACACAATGTTCTTATGGAACAACAAAAAGGTTGCCATAGAAGTCACAGGGGATGCAAAGAACAGTTACTCATAGATTCAGTCATTCTAAGGCAAGCACACAAACAACACAGAAACATACACATGGCATATATAGACAACAGAAAAGCATTCAACAGTGTTCCACACAGTTGGCTGCACATCTACAAAATACATCCATCACTCATTGCATTCTTCCAAAACACTATGCAGCACTGGAGAACAACACTACATCTCAGGGTTAGTAACACTTCCATACAAACAAACCAAATATTCATTAGGCAAGGAATTTTTCAAGGAGATTCCGTGAGTCCTCTTTGGTTTTGCTTAGCATTGAACTCATTATGTAACATGTTTAACAACACACAATATGGTTACAGTATCAGACATGAAAAAACAACACAGTTCATACTTTTTAAATAAAATGAAAAATGAATTCAACACGGCCAACAGTAATTTATGTTTAATAATATAATAAATATAATTGTAAAAAATGTAAAATATGATAAAAGCAGATGACGCTTTTATCATATTTTACATTTTTTACTATGGAGGGAATAGCCTAAAAGGAAAGGTTGTCTCGACGAGTTTTGTGATTTTATGAACTGCCAATGGTGTAAATAATGGAAAGAAGGACTGAAACAAAGTGTTACCTTTGTTAAAAGTTGTAATTATATTTATTATATTATTAAACAGTTTATACTGTCACATCTCATGTATATGGACAACATAAAACTTTATGCATTCGTACGAAAACAACTTCATCAACTCCTACAAATCACACATTCATACACCAAGGACATACAAATGGAGTTTGGCCTAGACAAATGCAAAACACTTCACATAGAAAAAGGAATCCTTAAGAAAGGAGATTTTGCACTTGGCAATGGTGATGTTATTGAATCCATAAAAAAGTGCAAGTTTTATAAGTATTTAGGATTCCAACAGGCCAAATTAACAGAACATACACAAATAAAGCAAAGATTAATTAAAGAATACCAAAGTAGGTTAAATGCTATCCTCAGAACACAGTTAAATGCAAAACACACAGTTACACCAATAAACATATATGTCACCCCAGTACTCACCTATTTTTTTTTGAGTTATACATTGGACTGAAACAGATCTTGAACAATTCCAAAAGAAAACAACAACACTTACTAAGCATAAACAACTATATTTTAAATCTGCCATAGAAAGATTAATCTTTTCACATGCAGATGGCAGACGTGGTCTTGATTGGCATAGTAAACCTTCACTGTGAAAGTTTTTCTACAAAATACAAGAAACATCACAGTTACATAAAGCAGTAACTTTATAAAATAACTCACCATTAAATTTACTCACATCATATGGACACAACAAAACGTAAAAAGCATGGATACCATTAAGCAATTGTGGGCTCAAAAAGTTCTCTACTGCAGACATGTCTATGTCTGCAGTAGAGCACCTTTTGAGTGGTACAGGCCTGGTACAGGATTTTGTTGACAAAACTGTGTCAAACAGCTGTGTAAGACCCTGGGCAATAGGTTTTAAATTGAAATATTAATAATTATAAACTTGTTAAAATAAAACACAAAAATTTGTTAAGAAGCAATGAGGAAATAAAATTTGGCTGAAGATAGCGCTTTCCTTTGACTGACTTCTCTTCTGAGAGAAATGACTTACCCAAGGAAGAGATGAAAAAGCATTGGATTGGACAAGGACGATGTTTTCATTTAATATTGTTATAATTGGAGATACCTCAACACAGGAAATGGTCAAAAATGTATAAAGGTACCAACAAAAAGGTTAAGAATGTTGTTGTCCAATTTGGCAGTCATCACTCTGTCTAGTCCTGTCAGCTATCAGCTACCCAATTTTTACCAATTCAGTCGCTGCCGAAATTAAAGGATAATGGACTTGAACTGATGGTGACCATTAATATTATGGATTATTATTGTCAGTAAAACAGCCTTTTTTGTCCCTTGGATGCCCAAGCTGGTCAGTGATCATCAAAACTCAAGGTTCCAGGCATTTAGCTTAACCTGTAAAATTTATGTTATATACTCTCTTTTCTACAAATGTTAGGCATGAATAGATTATAGATTAGTCTGCTAGAATATAGTAACTCTTATACATAAATCTTATAATGTCATATTTATTGTACATGTATCTTGGGCTTATGTAAAATTAAATGTTATTTGTTTTGCTGTTAATTCAGTAGTTGAGTGTCTTACTTCCAGGCCTCCCTATTCCTCTAAAATTTTCTTTCTTCATCCTTACTCTGTAAAAGTCCTACATAAGTGGCCACTTGTGCAGTTTGAAGGTTTCTGTGAGCCAAAAGTCACAGGTGGTATAAGACCTGACTTGAGGGAGCGCAGCCATCCTGTTTATAGCTGGTTAACTTGGAGATGTCTCTTTGGGGAGACAGAAAAGTTCATGATTACCATACAGGATCAGTCATAAACACTAAAAACTACAGAAAACACACTCAAAGATACTCACAAAAGACATGTGCAAAAAATGTCACATCATGCCAGAAACTATACAATGCATCACTTATGGTTGCAAGCTCTTGGCACAGACAGATTATTTACATAGAACTAATCAAGTAGCAAATATAATACACCAAGAGCTTGCAAAGAAACACAAACTGGTAGACATTCACAAACCATACTACAAATACATTCCACAGACAGTATTGGAAAACAACACTCACAAAATGTACTACGATGCCATAATCACAGATAAAACAATTCACCACAACAGACCAGACATCACACTCTTTGACAAACACAATAAAATCACATACATTATAGACACAGCCATTCCAAACACTCACAATATACAAAACACATGCACTGAAAAAATTAGCAAGTACATGGAACTTGCTCAGGAAATAAGGCATCTGTGGAGGATGGATATGGATTGTACCTGTTGTTCTCTCCTATACAGGTGTGATACCCCACACACTACACAAAAGCCTGGGAACATTACAATTAATAGAAATACATACAGCACACTACAGAAGGCCACTATATTGAATACATGACACATTGTTAGGAAATTCCTGAATACACACTCACACACTGACACACTTATTTAATTTTTGTCTTGTTTTGGTTACTATGCTCTGGTCCAGCATAGTACGCAGCAACTGGTGTCAACAGAGTATAATCCACTACACCCACAAGAAGAAGAAGAACAACAACAACAACAAGAATACTCACTAAATTTACAGGCATTGACCCTGCACAATGGTTATGCACTCCTAAAATTAACACTTTTAAACTAGTTGGGAAAATTCTTTATTTTGTGATTACTTATATATTACCAGACTACAGTTATATTTCTACACTCAGACATCCACACGCTAGTCTATATTAGTGCATCACAGTAGTGATTTTATCGTGGACTAAAACTACATCCACAGACATAACATAAGCACAAATCAAAAACACTTCAGAAGTCTGCCAGGCAAAGAAATATAGAAACCCAAATAAAGAATATTAGACAGCAGCTAGGCAGGCTGATGCAATATGCTAATAACAAAACAACACCAAAATTAATGAAACAACTAGAAAATATTTTCAAGAAAATTAAAACATACCAAGCATGAACAATACAATGTCCACATTACAGAATGCATTGACACACTGGAACAAAAACTTGCTGCCAAAGTATGATGACTCAAACAATACAAAATTTGCTCTGTATAGAAACAACAAAATAAATTATATGTATATAAACATCTTTATTGATTTGACTTGCATCTTTATAATTGGGAGAAAAGAAAGACAAAATAGTTGGTACACATAAATATCATATACATATATTAATGATTAATAATAATTATTAACATCATATTGTAACATGACAAATACAAATATATAAAGTAAAATTTCCAATTCACAGAAATTTGTAAATGATGATACCATACTTAAAAGCAATAAATAAACAACTTTCAACATCAAAAGGAAACATAAATGATAATTGATGTGTTTATTTTTGCTTATTTAGATGTTGATGAATTTATTGTTGAACTTTAGAGGTAGTTTCAAGGACAGTGGTAAGGATAAAATACTGTATTTCGTTGCAAAAAGAAATTCAAGGGCAATTGATAATTTAAAATTTATTGACTCAAGTGCTCTTAAAATTTGAGAACCCAAAAAAGTGTGATATATCTGATTCCATGATATAACTTGGGGCTACTGTATAAAGATATCTTCTAACTTACTTACTGGTACTAATGACAATCCTAAAGAACCTTTACTTCCAGTAACAAAACATTTAATAAATTGTCCAACGAATGCTTTCTTTGACCTTACTCAAGGTCTGCTTCAGGTTAGAGAACAATCAAATTCCAAAATCAGAATGCTTGGATTAGAACGTTTTTGAACGTTAAATTTAAAACATTTGGAACATGTAAAACAAACAGAGACTTAACAGTTGAAAATATGCGAATTTACCATGTACATATAAGGCAACCCGTGTACTTATTTTTTGAGGGTCCAGCATGCCAGTAAATAATATAAATTCAATGTGCATGCTTTGCCATGTTCCTCACACAAGTAATGACAGGCATATGATAATGTGTTACCATCCTTAAAATTGATGCACTTGCCTATCAGACCAGCCTTGTATATTTCTAGAGCCTTCAGGGCTCTTAATATGGTTGGTATGATAGGCCTGTTTTATTAGCCTGGTGCTAGGAAGGTCTGAATGCACTTCCAGGTCTGTGGTATATGTAGATAGGGCAGTGGTGTACCTTTTTGTTGTCAGTGTCATACTTGTGTTCCCACACTTTTTGTTGTACGAAACATTTGATGGAATAAATGTAAACCAAGTCTCTCTGGAACCAGTCGTCCCTCACCAGAACACTGTACACACCCAGGGCTCTAAGATCATCAGATTTGTTTTTTGCATTTTATAATAATGCAATTGAAAGCTATTGTATTTGTCATTTTCTGTTTAGAATCTTGAAAAATTAACCCTTTCAAAATGATAGAAAATGAACCTTGAGAAGAAAAGTGAATACCCAAGTATTTGAAATGAGACACTATTTCCTATTTCTTATCCAACAGAAAGAAGTTATCGTCCTTCCCAAGTTTTCTGCCTCTGCAGAAAATCAGTATTTTGAATTTATGTTCATTAATTGTCAATCTGTTGTTTTTACAATTTAAATTAAAAAAGTTAAACTTCAATTGAAGGGAAACAACAGAGTTAGATATCAATATAATATCATCTGGAAATAAAAGATAGTTTAACTCAGTCTGTGAGGACAACACTATATTCATAATTGCTTTTTCTCTGTATAAAGTCCAGAAGATCATTTATAAATAATTAAAGAGAACAAGTCTTAGAGGCTCACCCTGAAGTAATCTTTTATTTGATGTCCAAGAATCTGTTCTGATAAAATTTTCAATGACATAACTACTGTTAGAAAATAGCTGTTTAAGTAAATTAATAAAGAATTGTCATACTTGTCAAGTTTCCACTATAAAATATTATGATCTACAGAATCAAATGCTTTTTTTAAATCAATAAATCCTATATATAACTTTTGATGTTTTTTTGATAATGCTAACTGACTTTAAGAAAAAAGATTATAGCCAACGTCTTCATTTTTAAAGAAAGTCCCATAAGACCTCATAATGCTTAGCTTTTCATCCATGCAAAATCACATGATCCTTTGAATTATATGATCTCTGCTTTTAAGGTCCTTGTAAGAAGGGCTTACACTCATTGTTCAATGGTGGAGGATAGGAAAATAGAAGTGAATTACATTACAAGTGTAGCCAGGCAGCATGGATACCCTGCACACCTTATCAATGCTCTTGTTGAATGCCAAGAGCAGACTACTGTCAACTCTTCAGCCTCCAGCTGCACTTGCTTTGTACATTTCTATTGATTTTGCATTTATATTATAATTATCCACACTCTTGTTTACATTTACTTATATTGTATTCCTATAGTATTTCATATTGTATTTTGATTTTCGTTGTATTTTATATAGTATTTTGAATTTTATTGTATTTCTTATTGTATTCCGTATTTTATTGTACTTGATATAGTATCTCACACCATTTTCTCATTTGTACTCATACCCACTGTATATATATTTGCGAAATCTGTTTTTATTTTTTACTGTTTTGTTTTACTTTTTATATTATCTGTCTATCACTCCTTTAATTGTATACTCTGTCCACATGTTTGTAACCGTGACACAATTGTTATTTTCCTGTATGCAACTGACTTGGCAATGCTCCACGGTACTGAGTATGTACGTTGTATGTGAATAAAACATTGATTGATTGAACATCAAGCATCCAGCAGAAACATTATGATCGAAAGACGAGTCATTTTTACCTGTTACTTATTACTAGGTCCTTGCCAACATCTACAAAGAAATATCTTGCTTTATGAGTAACAGGATCGCTTACAGGAGATCTATGGTGGTTTTCTCTAGTATTAGAAATGATAAGGACCAATTAGATCAGAATTGTATCCTGGGGAGTATCTCTATTAACGATTATAGGGTGAACCAGGTGAATACATTAGAGCTACTGTATGTGGTCTAAAAACGAGGATCAAGGAGGATAGACCTTTTTGAATACATGAATCAGAAAGGTTATCAACTATCACATTGGCTTCTTTTGCCATTGATAATGATGTCCAGGTTAAAGTTGACAATTCCTGATTACCACACGTTGCAATGACCTGGCCAACCTGAAATATCTCAAACAACTGGAAATATTTAAAGCATTTAGGAGGGAGACATCAATTAATTTTAAAGAAATGGGACTCATTAGCAGCTGTGTGGAGAGTATGCATTGATGTACAATAGATCTTTGTCAAGTTTTGTTTTTATATTTTATATAAACTTAGTATTTTAAAATGGGAACTTATTTGAAGTCCAATTTGTTAAACATACGTGCATTGAGCATGCACATATTTTCGGGATGTGCAACTTTTTAAATGTTTGCAATTTGCATTCTTTTAACAAGCATTCCATTACGTCGAAACCTGAGGATGACTGTTGATAATGGATGAAAACATTTGTTTAACAATTAGTTAAATGAAATTGCATATTCTGTTTGAATATATCACAATGGATTTATTTAATAGATAATATCCTTAATTCCTATGTGAACTTTTTCAAGGTGCTGTCAGAATTTTCAATATTTGTTATATTATTTTGAAGTAGATAAAAAAAATAAATTAGATACTTCTTTTAAAATTTGATTTATTCCATTTATTAAATATTAATATTTGATTTAATCAAAGTGAACATATGCTGTTCTAAAATTTAAAATTGCTAAAAACAACTATTGTTATGTAAAACATTTTTTTTTAGATTATTAATTTAAACTTAAAAATTAATCTGCTAAACTGAATAAAAGTGTTTTCTAGCTAATTTGTAACTAGAACATGAAAAAAAATTTTAACTTAGTAAACTAAATTTAAATTTTCGTATGTAAACTAAATAACCATATATAATGTTGGATTTTATATTATAGTATTATAAAAGATTTTCATTCTATTTAGCATGCCATCCAACATGTCGTTTCTGTGCAAATGGCCCTACTCCTGATTTATGCTTATCATGCAACCATGGCTATCTGCTCCCTCATCCAGAAAATGAATTTGGCTATTGTGTTGAAGAATGTCCATCAAATCATTATGTTTCATCTACTGGAGTATGCAAAGGTATGAATATGTGTACAAGATATTGCCAGTTACATCTATTGTACTTAAATAACTTTATCTCACTTGAAATTTCTCTTAGAAAATGCTGTTTAATTTTATATTAAATAGCACTTTCAAAATTGAAAAAAAAAACACTTGCAAGGGTTCTTATTTGACTTTCCCAGCACTTGAACCAGAATTTAAGGGAGGCCATCTAGAAGTCTGATATTTTTCAATTATACTAGGATATAAAATTTAAATAATAATAAAAGCTATAAAGTAGTCATTTTATTGAATTTTGATAAAAGTATGCAATTAAATAACTTAGTAAGCTTCTTAAACTGGAGTTTAAGAAGCTTAAATTTAAACAGTTATGGCCTGTTTCAGCAACAAATTTTTATATATCAAATGTTTTTGGCTATCTTAGTAGCCATCCTTAGAATTGAACATTTTTGTAGTAGAATTCTTTTAAATTAAATTTTAATTTCAACATTCTTAGAAGTGTTCTAAATATGAATCAATGATAAATAACTAAAAATAATTATAAAATAAAATACACAAATAATAATAATAAAGAAACCATAAAATACAAATGATGATAATACACCACAAATTGATTGAATATATACAGTAGTATAATTAGTTTGTAGTTTAACCTCGTCTTGGTTTATAACATACTTGCAAATTGCCTATAAGCAAGTGGTATTTTTATGATGAATACACAGATTCTTAATACTATGTTTGTCTAAAGTTATTTTTCTAGAGATTTTTCAGTGTGTTGATCCCTGGTGGTTTTCTTGAGTTTTGCATCTATGAAACAAGATATATTCTCAGGAACAGTTGCCATAATAGCCAGTGTTGTGTTGCTTTTCTCTTTATGTATGTCATATAGTTGCTCTCTGAGCCTGATAGGAAAGTTTTGGGATGTGTACCCTATGTATTTGCCGAGTCTGATTTTTCTAGACCTAGAGTAAAGGATTCCTGGGGCTGTGGTAGAATTGACCAGATTCTTGTCATTATGAAATGAGCTGTAAATTATATTGTTGTGCTTCTATTTTGCTTATTTTCCTGTCTAATAGTTTTTCTGAAGGTGTTATATAGAAACTTGTATGTTACCGGTGCAATCCTGGATGGATGGAATTTATCCTTGGACTCTTCTGTGGTTGTATATATTAACCAAGGCATTGGAGTATTGTTTTATCTGTGAGTGGCTGTTTTGTTTCTGATACTATTCAACTTCTTTAAAGTATTTTTTATGTCTGTGCAATGCATGTAAGCCCTTGTGATAAGGGCTTTGAAAGCTTCCGTTTTGTATCTAGGAGGATCATTCGAGCAACAAGGGATGTATGACGAGTGGTATGTTGGTTTAACATTTGTTTGTGTGTATCTCTCCATTTATAAGGATGATGTTTAGATCTAGGAAGTGTGCTTCTTTATTACTGAATTGATCCAGGGCTATTTTTAATCAGTATGGATTGTTATTATGTTGATAAAAATTTGTATATCTGGTTTTGTGTTCCATATGATCAGTCAGTACATTATCTATGTAATGCCTATGTTATAAAATATTATTTTGTATTTTAGGAGTAATGGTGTTTTCTGTATCCCTTAGCACTAGTTCACGTAGTAAACCTATATGGGCTGCCCATTGGGACTCCTCAGTTTTGGAGATACTATAAGGTTGTCAACAGGGGTGGAAATGTCAAGAGGTAATGAAGAGGCATATAAAAGTTCGTCTTGGTACCAATCACACTTAATGGTTACAAGAAACTGTTTATTTGATACAAAAGGAGCTTACAAGAGTTCTGTGATCTTGGATGTTGTAAGTTGGTGGCAGTCTTTGGGTCTTCCTTTCTTTTCGAAGATAGTCCCAAATGAAGGATGTCCCTGGTTCACAAATGACAGTTCGCTTAACATCTCAATGACTCCAATATGATTTGGTCGACTTCCAGTGATGGGAAGATGTAAATCTGAGGATGGAAGACAGAGACAAAGATGGGAATGAGACATACACACAACAATTGGTCCAACACTTTCAGGAGTAGAAGCCATCAATTCCTTGAATTCTTCTGTTTTTATTAATTTTTATCTTTGATTAGCCATTCTAATTGGTCACTTTTCCTCATTTTTACTTTCTAATAGGCTGATCATTTGTTACAAAGAATAATGAGATATCCTCTTAGAGTGCAGGAAAAGTCAAAACTGACATTTAATTTGATCACCCAACTGGAGATGGTTGATCTTAGGACTTACATTCATTTATTGTTTAAAACTTCATATTATGTTTTCACACAAAAAATTATTCCTAGCTTTTTTTTCTTTCAAAAAATAATTTAATGCGAATTTTAGTAAGGGTTTGGAACTGTCCAGAGCCACAAAATACACCTCAAAAGTCTGGTGAATTAGTTGAGCTCTCACCGTTCAGAATTAAACAAAGGAAGACTTAAAGTCTAGTTTAAACAATAAAAGTTATTTTCAACAAAACAGAAAACAAAGGGTTTGAATTGCGAGGAAAATATCAAAGTCGGGAATTTTAGATGAATGGGAATTGGGTTTAACTCCTCGAGCCTTTTTCTTTAATTCCTAATGGCACTTGGAAATTTTCTAAAAAATATATTTTTTATATTAAATAATTATTTTTACTCAAATGCACATCTAACAGTAAAAAAAATTGCCGCAAAAATAAACACCCTCAAAAAGTGTTTTTACAGAAAACTATATAAAAACAATAAATCACACACACCTGAATTGTTTTTGCCGAGTTATTTTTGTTTATTCCAAACGTTTTCGACCAATTCGTATAGGCCATCTTCAGGTTTTAATAGTTTTTGTTCGAAATTCGTTTGAATTTGAACTTATTACAACTTTTATGTATAATAAATAAATTAAACTAAATATATGATAAAATGTAATCTAAAATCGCGTTTCAATTTAACAATAAAAATAAAAGAAAAATTTTAACTTTGAGTTTGAAATACTAAAAACTCCAGAACATGAAAATGTTTATGGATTATTAAAACCCATATTTTTCTCAATTTTATATTTCCAAGCCGTTGGTAATGCTTTTGCATCTTTTGCATTTAGGCATCTGTCCCTCATCTTACTTCTGTAAATCTCTATTTTCTCCATTTCCATTGCGATGGAAGGTGAGTGTCCCGTCCTAACAATCTTGGCTTCATCCCATTTGACTACTGATCCGTCTGCCTGTGCCATACTTGCTAATATCGTACTATTCAGTTTTTTATTTATACTATATTTGTGCTCCTTTAGTCGTACTTTCAGGTTTCTTCTGGTTACTCCGATATACTCTTTCTCAATACCTAATTGTTGGTTCTCAAAGGGTATACTGTATACACCCGGTTGGTCTTCTAAATTAATTTTGTCCTTGTCGTTTCTTAATAATCTATAAATATTGGGTGCTCTTTTATATATTATCCTTGCATTTTTGTATTTTCCTAATTCCTTCACCACCTTCTTCGTTTGTTCATTGTATGTGAACTTATTGAATGTAGTATTGTTGTTATGGTTTGGATTCGTAGCTTTTTGTTTACCGTAGCTTTTTACAAGGCCTATGATTGTGGACTTTCTGTATCCTAAAGTCCTTGCTATCTGTTGAATTCTATTAATTTCTTTATCCCTGTCTTGTACATTGGTGCAGTACAGGAAGGCCCTTTTGATCAGTGCCTTAAACGCAGATAATTTATATTTATATGGGTCTTTTGACCATGCCGGTATGTATAAAGGAGCGTGTGTTGGTTTTAAATATACGTTCGTTTGTATGTTTCCTAATTTGAATTCCATGTTAATATCCAAGAAATGGATGTTCCTTCGGCTTTTTTGTTCTAATTTTAGCTTCAATCCGTGCTCATTATTGTTGATTGTTGTTAAGAAATCATTAATGCGTTGGTCATCTTTCCAAATTATTAATATGTCATCAACATAGCGTTTGTATATTAC